GCTCCAAGGAGACCATTCAACCCCGAAGCTGCTTGCAAAGGCTTTTTCTGCTGTGCCCTTAGGCAGGGCTGGGTGACAGGCCCGAGGGGGTTCCTCCACCTCCAAAGCTCACGAGTAAGGCAGAAAAGCACCCCGAGGCCCTGTGGGCAAGGCGTTTCTGGTGGGAGACTCTCGTGGAAGCAGCGAGTGTTGCCGATTGGGAGTTGACGCTGCCGTTTTGTGCCAGTCTCTGTGTCTCACCCGCCTGCTCCGAGGCAGCCAAGCCGGCCCGTTTGCTCCATTCCCTTGGGCTTTTCCCCCACGTGCCCATTTTGGAAGCGTCCTTGCAGCCCCGGTCCCGGGGAATGCAAGGAGGAAGATCCCGGAGCCTTGGGCGAGCCACAAAAAAATCACCAGGCAAAAACAGCAACCCCTCGCAACCCCAATGGGAACATCGCCGTCGTTCGGACTTACGGCTGTTGACCTAGCGTAAGGCTTGTAGTGAGCGGAGGGTGGTTGGCACAGGCTACTGGAATACCCTTTAATTGCACAACCATAGGGTATATGGTAGTCCTATAAATAATGAATACAGGCCTGTTGGAGAGCAACCTTCATTCGCTGGCTTCAGCCCGACATCAAAATAGCACGGCTCGTTGAGAGACATTTTAGTGCATTGACTTATTCTTTAAACAATGGGTTAACACGATGCAGCTGCCAGCAAAACAGCTGCACAGGCTCCGGGCAACCCCGGCACAGCACTTCAGTCCTGCTCCCGGCCCCACGCGTGACCGAGACAAGGAGGGCGACTGCATAACGAAAGCGATGGTTTGGGAGTTGCTGCACCTGTCACCCCACAAGCATCGCTCTGCCTGTCTGCCCTGGCTCTTCTCATCCCCATCCTTCCTCTGGCACATCTGACTGAGCAGGAAAGCAGGTGACCCGGCAGAGGAGGGTGCCCACCACCACATGGTGAAAGCCAAAAGACGGGCATGATAGTCTCTGATGTAACGGCAATATCCCGTTATTATACTGGAAGGTGCCAGGGCACGGAGGGGAATCAGTCTGATTCAGTGCATTAAGCGCTGATTTAAAAAGAGAGGAAAGCGGGCCAAGTGGGTAGGAAAACCACTCTTTTTTAAGCTTTCTCCAGATGCAGTCACGGCCCCTTATTAGTCACCATCACCAGACCAAAGGCTGGAGGTCTGCTCTTTCCAAGAACTGACATTTCCAAGAGCACCTAAGTGCCTTGGGACCTGGCATCTGATGCTGAGAAGTGAGTTCTGTTGTTCCACGGGTATGGGACACGGGCACTTTCAAAGACATTTACCCAGGAAGACAACTATGCCCCGAAGGAGCAAAATCCCGCAGGGGCAAGACTGATCAATGCCAGCAACATGGGCTATCCAAGCACCCATGCCCCACAAGCCCACTCCTGCTGCAGAAGCCATGTCCCAAACACCTCCACGGTTGGGTAGCTTGTATTTTTTATTTTACACTGCCACTAAAATCAAACGGCTCCATCCTGCCCTCCACGCCAGAGGCAACAGCTCCCTGGCTGCTAGCAATGACGCGGGGATCGATCTACGCTCGCTGTCTGCAGCCAACGGTCACCACCTCCCACCGGGGTCCCAGCTGCTCACCTGGGAGAAGGCAGGCACTGCCACGCTGTACGGCCGCTGCTTGAAAGCGTTGGCGTTCTGGGGGGGGAAGCCCTGTGAGGACATGCTGTAGTCCGGCGGCGGGATGGCGATGTCGTCCTTATCCAGCAGGTTGCCTGTGCTGCTGCTTTTCCCGGGCTGCAAACTGCAAGAATAATCCATCAACACCCTCCCCGGCCTTCCCTGTCGGCAGCCCGCAGGGACCCCGCTGCTTTTCAGGGGGCCTCAAGTAGCAAGCGCAGCAAAATGGCACGGTGCATTTAATCCTGAATCTCAGGAGTGAGTGACGATTCAACAGCTTTCAAAGCCATGAAGTGTCTTCTGGGGACCGTCATTTCTCCAGCTGAATTCCTGTGCACGAGATTTGCAACCCCGTGAGGGGGCTGAAGAGAGAGGGGCAAGAAGAGGGGACTGCTTGCCAGAGGGCAGAGGACCCGCTCTCGCTGGGCACTTGGGAGCTGTTGGCATGCCCCCGGCGGCAGCCCTCGGGGAGACCATGCCCTCCCACCCCCATCAGCTCCGGCTCCTTCTCCCGCCCTCAGCTCCTGCATCACACTGCAGCAATGTCTGAGGCGGTGGCACATGCCACTTGGGGCTATTCTTGGCATACCCATGGAAACGAGGCCCAGTGCTTCAATAGCGGAGCTGGGAGAAGCCAGGCATGTTACTCCCTCACGTCCCTCAGGCAAGCAGCCCCATGTCTCCCAGCACTAAGAGGAGCCTGCTGCCCGAAGCGGGGTTTTACCTGGCGTGAACTCTGCTGCTCCCATCGCTGTCCAGAACCCGCGTGTACGAGAAGGGGAACCAGCCTCTCCTGCAAGGCAGAAGCGCAAGGAAGAGTCAGCCTCCGCCTGCACCTTTGCACGGATGTGTTTCTACGCCGCACTCTAAAAGGACTCCACCTGCCTGCATTGCATCTCTCCCCCCGACTGCCCTTTGGGAGCCGGCAACTCGCTCAGCTTCCTACATACGTCTCAGAGCCAGTAAGGAAGATGCTGTAAAAAGAAAGTCACTCCCAAACTCCTTGTCCTGCTCTACAAGTGTCTGCCCCTCACCCCTCCATCCTGCAGTGACCTGGCAGGAGACAGGGAAGAACCTGGCAGGGTTTTTTTGTAATCTCCAGGGGGTTCATACAGGGCTAAACTTGCCCCTGGGGACTTTTGCTGTGGGCTGCTGGCCCCTGCCAGCTCAGGCTTCTGCTGGGACCATTCGCTTTGCAAAGGGGGGTGATTTCAAGGGGCTGGAGTTCGGCATGGAGCTGCACCCCCTCGTCCACACCCTCCCCTGCCAGCGGCGCACAGGTATCCTGCTGCATTTCAGAGGGGACCTCAAGTAGCGAGCGCAGCAAAGTGGCACAGTGCATTTAATCCTGAATCTCAGGAGCGAGCAGTGATTCGTCAACTTTCAAAACGGCAAACGCGCCCTCCGGAGACGGTCACTTCTCTAGCTGATTGGGGTAAGCGACCGTGCAGAGCGTCTGCTTTGCAAAAGGGGGTAAGACCCCCATCAGCCTCCTTCCTCCCCCCTACAGAGACTTGAGCGGGTGACAGCTGCCCGCTTGCTTGCTACAGGAAAGCAGAATGGCAAGAAACGAGTCGATGAGAGGCCTGGCAGAGTAATGACTCACTTGCTCAGCCCCATCGCTACAGCCTGGTGCTGCTAATTAGGTCAGTGCTTTATCATGTCCCAGCTATCAAATTCGGCTAAGCCGGTGTTTCATCTTAGATTCACAGACAAGGAGGGTGGGAAGGGACCGCAGGAGGTCACATCTAGTCCAACCCCCTGCTCCAAGCAGGACAAGCCCCAGCTCCGTCATCCCAGCCGAGGCTTTGTCTACCCGGTCCTTGCTCAGACAAGGCCAAGTTCACAAGGCGCCTTCTAGGCACGGAGCAGGATGAAGGGGCAGCTGCAAGACACTTGCTAGTACTCAACCCAACCCAAGCCTCTGCAGTGCAGGGGGGCTCTAAACCAGCGGTGTGACGGGGCGGGGGCTCTCACATCTTTGTCTTCTCGCTCTCTCCATAGTGCCAGCCGTCCCGGGCCTCGGGCACCAGGAGTGTGATGAGATCCCCCTCCTTGAAGCTCAGGAGGGTGCTGTTGTCCCCGGCAGCGTGAGAGAAAATGGCTTGTACTCGTGTCCGACCGTTTCTCTCGAGCCCGGCGGCCATGGAACTGGAGCGCGGCAGAGTCTTGTTCTCAGCTGGCGGGAGACAAAGAAAAGGCCTGAGACCTCAGCCCCGGGGGCCACGCACATCACAGACACAGCCCCACCCCGAAACCCTCTCGTGTTACTCGTAGCCACGGCACAACACGAGGATGCCACAGCACGTGGCTCGCTCGGTGTTGTTGCCGCCGAAGGACCACGGCACTGTGGGATACGATAAGCACATCCAGGCTTACTGGACATAATGGGAACTCCCCCCTGGATGGCCGAGGCAGTTCAGGAGGCCCCCACTTCTTGGCTACGCAGTTGGCTTTTAAACTACTTTTAAAGGCAGGAGCACGCAGGTGGGAAGCTCGGCTCTCAAGCTGTGCATTTCCTCTCGCATTCAACATGCTAACAATCCTCACATTTCAGACCAGCGATACAATGGGGGCATCTCCACTCTAAATGGTAAGTGGAAACAGGCTGTTGTGTAGTTCAGAGCTTTATGGACTCAAGGCACCCCCTTGGAAAGCGCCAGCTCTTAGTTTTCACTCGTTTTTTTGACACGGGATGACGACAGAACAATTCTTCTGTTGCAAAGAACTCAAAAAGCCCGCAGCAATGGACTTCTGTTTGAAATCTCTGGGTTTATCTTGTGACTTGTGCTCGTAAGCCTAACAGTGCTAACACCGCGTGGCACCCTGGTTGAGAATCACTGTTGCAGTGGCATACGCCCAGGCTGAATTTGTCATCCAGACACTTTGCCATTATGTGTGGGAAGGGGAAAATCCAGGGGGGAGCTGTGCGGGCCCACGTGAAAGGAGATGAGGAGCTGCAGCTTCTGAAGCAGGGCTGAGACACGGTCCTAGAGTATCGACAGCATGCGTAAAGGCGGTGCTGGCACTGCGGGGAAAGCCCCTCTGGCTTTGGCCTAATCCAGTGGCTTTATCCCATCAGCGCAGGTGACCCTCCGTCATCTCTGTGCCCCACAGCAGTGCCTGGAGCACCGGGGCATCCCTGGGTCTGTCTGCAAGAGCAGAGTGCACGCGCGAGAGAGACGGCGCAGCGACAGCCTGCTTCGCCCCACGGAGCCATCCTGATCTGCCTCTCGGAGGGCGGGCGCGTTTCCTTCCAAAGGAAACTGCCAGTCAAATGAACCCCCGTGGTTTTCTAATCCTGTGCCCAGCCACGCGTGAAAGTGGCAACCATCTTTCACGCGGCTGCTGAGATGCCCCATGCATTACTGTCTAGTTACTAATGAACTTAACCCTGAAGCTACCAGACAGGAGGCAACTGCCTCCGAGGGAGCCGTGGCCCCTGGTGGCCAGCCAAGCCCTCCTCGCCCTGTATTGACCCTGACAGCTGCTCGTGCCAACTGAGCCGGTTGCAGGACTGTGACCCCCAAGTGCCAGATATGCTGCGTGGCCGCTGGCGTGGCTGTTTTAGGAGAGGGGGCAGTTCTTACTTGCTGCATAACTGTTTTTGGGCTGGACGTTTTTGCGCACGGGCAGCGTGTTGGAGTAGGAGTCGCTCAGCTTCTGGGGCTGTGGGGGAGACAAGGGCTTTGACTGGGCCGGCTTCCTCTCCGGCCAATGGTTGTAGTCCTCGCTGTCAGGGCCCGAGACACCATTCATCACGGGGATGGTTTCCTGCGCTGACATTCGCTGCAGGGAGGGGGGAAAATGGGAGATGGCTGCATTATGCACGTGAAATGATAATCTGGCCACGTAGAGCAGCATCCCAGCCCTGCTAAGCCTGGTATCCTGCCTCCAGAGACAGCTGAGACTGAAGGCGTCAGGAGGAAGGGCACGGCCACCCATGGCACATCTAGGCCATCAGCAAACCCCTTCCTAAACCCTGCAGCTATCCTGTCTTACAGCACATGACTCGCTGCATGTCCGCCCATGCTGGTCTCCGTCCTATTCCCTGCCATATGCTCCGAGACTGGCCCCAAGCCCCACCGCCGCACCCGGCGAAAGTCTAGGAGAAGGCGACTCTCTGAGAGCCATGGTACACCCTAAAGGAGTAGGCTTATAATGCCCACGGACTTGCTCAGCAAAGGCTCACGCCGTGTGTACTCACCCCAACAAACGGGGCCAGCTCTGGTGGGACCGGGAGCGGCTTGGCACCAGGGATGGGCTCCGAGATGATGAGGTTCGATTTGGATGTCGACAGAGGGGCGGGCAGGATGGTCCCGTTGCTGCTGGCAGCCATCTGCTGCATCAGCTGTATGGCCCGGTCCGGGATCTTGTTGGGGTCGGCACAAGACTGCTGCCACAGCGGGAGCTTCTGTGTCAGGATCTCCTTCCCCTAAAAGCAAAGGAGGAGTGAGTCCACAAGAGTCCTGTGGGGAAAAGCCCGTGTGCCCCTCAAAGGCAGGGACATCCTGGCACGGTTCCCTTCTCAAACCAAGCCCTCTGGATGCCTCATGTCCTGGGTCCCAAAGGCCCAGGAAGCAGATCAAGACTATGATGCATCTAGACCTGGCTTGAGACCTCAAGTGCCCCCGGCCCAGACGCACAGCAGACTGGAGCAGTGAGAGATCCAGCTACCTGCACGTGTGCACGCTCAACGCTGGCATGGCGCAGGGCGTTGCAACCAGGATTTGGCTTGTGACAGCGGACAAGCTTGCAAGAGCTCATTAAAAGCTGAGCAGGAGGGAGGGAAAGGTAATGAACTTTCTCCGCTGGCAGGAGAAGGATGGAGGAGCTGACATGGAGAGGTGGGAACCCGGGTGTGCAAACTAAGACCCATCAGCCAAGACCTGTCGTGTGAGCAAAGGCGACTCTCAGGGAGGACGGGGACAGACTGTGCTGGGTAAATCAGTGTTAACGGGGGCTGAGCTTTGCAATGTGGCTCCTCTGCACAGCCCAAAGCAGCCTTTGCAAACTCCCTTCCTGTGGCTATCCAAGCTGGCAGCCACTTTGTGACTCTGACAAAGTGATGCCATCCCTGGAGCCGGCCCGCCGGCCTGGCTAGGCAGGTTTATTTTGGTGGGAGGCAGTGTTTGTCCTATTCTGCCCTACTAAATCGCTCCCCTGAAGAGGCCTGAAACTTGCTCCCAGCAGGTAGGTGCAGTCTCGGTGCCTGGCTAACGAGGGACAGGCATTCAAAGGCAGACTGCAGGCAGCCAGGTCCCTTGCAGCACGTCCTGGTCATGCCGGGGGACTCCCATTCCACCCCATAAGAAGCTAATAACTGCTGGCCGCAGATCCCAGGGACACTTGGGCACGTCATCAACAGAATGGCAGGGATGTGGGACAGTGACAGGTGCAGACACACGGCTCGTGCCCCAGATATGCCACTCCTGGGCATGGAAGGTCATCTCTGCCTGTGACCCAGCCACTTCCCAAAGGAACCTGCTAATCTTCCAGGGCTGCTCGGTTTTTGCAGCTTCTGACCTCCTGCCTTTGGATGCAGAGGCTCTAGCGTCAGCCCAACTCACCTGGAGCAGCCTGGTGGCACAGAGGGCTCCCCTGTACAGAGTCCAGGGCTGAGCTCTTGCTTTCCTGCTTAGATGTCTTGCATTTCCAGGGGCTTGGGCGCTGAACTTCTCAGGAGCTAAAGGCATGGCTATACCATGTCACCAGCACTCAGGGAAAGTGGAGCCCCAGAGCAGACCCCAACCATCTGCACCCGGGCTCGGTGGTCCGGTGCTGCAGTGGCTCCGAGATCTGTCCCCGCAGCCAGGCTGCAACGTGAGGGCGGGAGAGCTGCTACGGAGCAGGGAAAGGGGTGTGCTGAGCCCTGGGGGAGTGATGGAGCTATAACCCAAGAGCGAAGAGCAGCTGTCAGCCGCTGCACCACTCTCAGAGACAGGCCCACCTCGCCACGGGACACGCAGGAGAATCATCTACCAGCACCGCAAGGAAGCTAGCCAATTTTTAAGCAGCACACAGAGGCTGCGATTCCCAAAAGAGAAATTTAACTCATCCCCAATTAGCAGAGAGCAGTACTGCAGGGTAAACGCTTACCCATTTGCCTCTAGATTAGCTATTAACCAGTGGCTTAATTAAGTGCCACCCTGAGCTATTTTCCTTGGTGTTAGCAAAAGCCTCTTTTGTTGTTTTCTTTAAAGAATAGGGTCATTTTCCCAGGACAGATTGCAGTGCCTTCAGCAAAAAGCTGGTGCCTGCTGGCACATGCATGCATGCACAGACACGCGTGTGTGCGCACACGTATGAGTGACACTGCCCAGCCCCGAATCAGCAGTGGAGCAGCACTTTTCACCAGCCATCCGTGTCGCGTTAGCTCAGACGGGCTTGGGAAATTAGAATACGCGTTACACGTACACCCACCCACCGCATGGGCAAGCCACCTGCAAAACCTCCTCGTACAAAACAAATCTCTCACATCCCCGGCTGCAATAAGGCGCTGATTTTAGCCCGCGATGCTTCAATAAGATGCTTCTGTGACATTCGGTGGCAACAGGAGTGCCACAGGTCCGTGGCCGGTGGGGGGAGGACCTCGGAGCCGTTCGCTAGCCCTTGGGAAGGCAAAACTCTCCCTCTTGGTCCTCGTGAAAAATTAACATATGTTGGTTATTGACTCAGCACATACTACAGTGCTGGGATGGGTATGACTAATTGCAACTCGTCTGCTACTCCCTGCTTCCAAGCTCAGCCTTGACAGATGGATGGGAGAAGTGAGAGGAGTGATGTCGGGTGGGTGGGGGCCGGGGTGGAGGGAGGGAGCAGGAATATTCGAGACGGCAAGCTCCTGCAAGAGGCCGAGGGTCGCATCGAGGGAGCAGGGGGTATCTAGAGAGGCACTGTAGCAGCGTGAGCTATGGAGCCGGGCACCAGGAGCCTCCGCAGAGGTCCCGAACTGGCGGGCGAGAGCTCTGGGCTGTCCTTCCCCCGGGGAACAGCGAGTCCTCGTGAGCGAGAGGTGTAGGCAGGAGCAAAGTGGGCAAGTGGGAGTTGGGAACAGCAGCCGCTTTCCTATTTAATCCTCTCCTTGGAGAGTGATGAGCTGCCAGGTGACACTTGCCGCCCCGCACCCGGAAGCCGCCTCGCCTGCTTACAGGTGCCACCGGCTGGTCCTGCCCCGCCTGCCGGGAGAGGCCTCGCGGGAGAGGTATATTCAGGGCTCTCCTCAGGGCCTTGCTCAGCAGGCACAGGTGGAGGCGGCTCACTCAATCATCTCCCCCTGGCTGCCCAATTTGGGGGCTTTAGTAGCCAATTCCACAGAAGCATCTGCCCAGCCAAGCAGACAAAGGATGCTTTTCACCCTGCTTGCCCCAGGGCAAACCCTCCCGAGCGGTCTGCATGCCCAGCATCCCTGGGTGGTCTGGGACAGGGGGTAAAACTACCCCGCAGCTCAGCACCACGGATATCCCCGTCCCTGCCTCATCGGTGGAGAATGCCAGCCTGCTCTTTATTACCAGCTGTGAAGGCTCCTGGCAGCCGTGAGAAAGACGCCCTCACCGCAACGACCAGCTGCCGCAGGAAGGCATCCCTGGCGAGGTAGGGGATTTGGGACATGCCGGCTCACCTTGGCGTGGTAGGTGATGGAGTTTTTGGCCACGGCACACTGCTTCTCAACCAGGAAGCAGAACCTCCTCCTCTCTTCTGTGAGCGCCGTCTTGTAGCCATCGGAGACGTAGTTTTCTAGCTCGCCTTGCTTGTTGCTGATGGCTTCGATATACTGCAAGGGAAAGACACGCCAAGGGAGTCAGTGGAGGGGGCAACCGCTCCGCCGCACAGTTATCTCTGCATTCAGCGCGGTGTACGGACAGTCCCCCAGAAACCCACAGCCGCGTCCGCCCGGGCACCCATCCCCTGCAGAGCGGGTGCCGGTTCATTAAACCCGACATCAGCACAGTGGGGTTTTTTGGTTGTTGGTATTACCCGTCGAGGCTGCTCCCACGAGCCAGAGGGAAAACCACCACCGCGCTTTTACATAACACGTTTTTTCAGACGGTGTTTAGCTAACGACGTGCCAGCAGGGGGCAGCAGGCGCACACACGCGTGCACACGTGTATGCCTGTGTATGCCCGTGTGTGTGTGTGTGTGTGTGTGTGCATGCGTGTGTCTCACCAATCGTCCTTACTCATCTGAACTCCCCCACACAAAGCCACTGACTCACAACGTGGGCTGCAGAAGGCGTGTGGGTGGGATGGGGGAAGGGGAAGAGCTGTGCTGTTCGCTGCCGCCCTCTCAGCCATCCCCACACACCTGGGTGCTGCTCGGGGAGAGGCCTGCGAGAGCCGCCCACGCTGCGGGAAACAGGGCGAAGCTCCCTGCTGGCATGGCCCAGGCGCCGGAGCCGCCATCCCCGGCGCCTGCAGCAGCCTCTTCCTCCCAGGCAGATCATCAGGATGACGGTCGCATCCCCCCCCCACCCACCCACCCGGGCTATTGTGCGATGCGCATAATGCAGCCATCTCCCGGGCTTCAAGAGCTGCTGAGAGCACCCGGAAGCAATTAGGAGCCTGCCCCTTCTCTTCTCCAGCCCGTCTCCCCCTCCCTGGCCCACTCTCTTGTGCTCACCTGCCCCCGGGACAGGGACCTGGCCTTTCCCTGGGGCCACGCGCACCAACACACACACGTCCACACCACGCGGAAGCGACTCAGAAGCGTCCTTAGGGCAGAAACACTGGAAGCCACCCAAAATGGCTCTCTGGCCCGTGCCATCAGGTGTGCTGCTTGGACAGACTGCACAGAGTCGGGGCCAGCCCCACGTCTCACCCAGCACCGCGCAGACTCCAAACACACGCGGGCATCTGCCCTGGGCTGCTCTGCTTTGGTTTGTCTACAACAGGGAGGCTCAAGCAGGGGCCACGCACCCCAGGGTGCCTTGAGATCCTTTCCACGGGGCTACATAGTGTTAGCATTACTGTGTTTGGAAAGACAAGGAACAAGATGAGCCTGGAGATTTCCAAGAGAAATCCATAGGTGTGGTTTTTCCGGGTTCTTTGCAACAGAAAAGCTGCTCTATTATTTTATGTATTCTGAAAAAGAGCTGGCGTATTTTTTTAATGTATTCTAACAGCTGGCATTTTCTGAGGGCGGCTTTGAGTGTACCCAGGGGTGCCTTGAAACTAAAATGCTGGAGAACCACTGGTCTATAGGGTTCAAATATACCGTGCCTTTTACTCGACTTCAGATTAATGCGGCTAACTACGTCTCTGGTGGAAGAAACAAGACAGAAATCTCTGGCTAGCCGGGAAACACTCGCAGCCTTGCCAAGGCCAGGCCAAGCTCCCTGCTGCACCCAGCTGGATGCCTGCTGGGGCAAGAGAAGACACCACATCCATTAATGACTACCAGCCCCAAGGAGATGATGAGGGGAGACAGTAAGCAAGGAGTGCGCTGGAGGATTCAGAGATAGGAACATCTGCTCCTTGTTGGGTGGATGCCAGCTACCTATTCACTTTACGTGGGACGTTTTGTACGGGCACAAAGGTTGTGCCCACCTATTAATTCAGTCTGGGCTCAGGGGAGCTGGGCTTGGCCGGTTCCTAATTCATTCCCAGCCCCTGAACGGCTCCTCTCTAAAGAGCATGGATAACTTCAACCAACGGCATGCCAGAGAGAGCTCCAGTTCAACCTGCCGTGGATCATGCTCCCTTTCTGCCTCCTCTTCCCTGGAAGGCGACAGAGGCACGACCGGCTTTGCAGTCCGGGCAAAATTAAACGTGGCTGGAGGACTCCGAGCTCTCCTGGGAGACAGCCGCACTGGGAATTTGAGGTCCTGCAGCTTTCTGCCTCTCTCCAATCTTTAATCGAGCTGTAGCAATTTCAGCTTCAGAGCCCCTTGGCACACTTGTGCAACACATAAAATGGGGTGAAACTCATATGGGAAACGGCCAGCGAGATGACGTGATTGGCCCAACACCCCCACGAGAGCTCGGATCAGATCAGGGTTAGCATTGGGGAACTCCTGGCTCGCAGTCCAGTGGTTGGACTATGTTTTCCTCCTCTTGCTCTGAAAACGGCTGTGTTGTGCACGCAAGAAGCTCCCTGGACCAGTTTGCTTCTGGGTCCCCGCCCCCAAGCTCCAATTCAAATGTCATTAGGGAGAAATCTCTCTGCAATCACAAGCTGCATTTAGAAAACCTTCAAACTCTTCCCCAGTCTTCCCCACGCCTCCGTGCCGGCGCAATGCTCTGGAACGGAAGTAAATCAAGGTAAGTGACCTAACAATGCTCCCTGGCTCAGCACACGCCGAAACGGGTAGTAACTCAAAGGATGTGCATAATGCAGCTGCTGGGCTGCATGGAGACCAAAACCCAATGAATCGGAGACGGGCTGTCAGGCTGTGGCCGGGCGGCATGAAGTGAAGGTAACTGAGAGAAAAAACCCGGGCCAAACTGCCCTGGCAGCCGTAGCCAGGGGCACGAGCCCTCCCGTTCCCTGCAGCCTGGAGCCTTCTCAACAGCCAGGGGCAAGTTACAGTGGATGCGCGAGCTCCCAACCGAGCGTGCTGGAGGAGCGGTGTCTTACTACGGTCTGGACCTCGTGCAGGGAGCGCTCCAGAAAGAAAACGCCCACTGCTCTCTCTCGGCATCCCACCGACATCGACTGGCCGGAGGTGTTGAAGAGAGAGACGCTGCACGGTCTCTGGTTGGTTTGGTTTTTTAAGTTTTCATTTCTTTTGCATCTACACATTCATTCATGCACTTTAAGTAATGCACATTAAATCTAGTACTTTCATAGTAAGGTACTAGGAAAAGGCACATTAGCCTATTTTATTGCGCATTAGCTAAAGAGCAGTTTTTTGTGATGTTTTAATGCGCATTAGAATAGGCCAATGCACATTAAAGTGCATGTGTAGATTCGCCCTGCAGGATCAGAGGGCAGGCAGTCTCTGCTCTCAGCCACCACTACTCACTTCCCCCTGTTTGTTCACGTTTCCCTCCCCTTCCAGCCCAAAGTGGGAAGAGAATAACACCCCCACCCCGCTCCCGTCCCTTTTTTAAGAAGGAAAATGCAAGTGCAAAGCCACAGCAAATGGCAGGGATGCTCGGGGGCAGCGGTGGGATCCGAAACGCCCTTGACCTCGTGTTATTCAGCAGACTGAGCGGCCTGCTGCAAAGACTCCTCCGGGACAGTTTGACTTTGTTGAACAAGAAGCAGCATCAATCCAACGCGAGTCACTTGGATGCAAGAGTGGCTGGTCCTGTACCAGGCCGGGGACTTGGGTTCACCTGGCACAGGACACCTGGAGCCAGGTCCTCCCAGGGCGTTAGGGGCAGTGAGGAAGAGCATGACCTCCGGACACAAAGGACAGCCCTGGGCTCAGTCAGCCTCCTGTGAAAGGCAGGATGCAGCGATTTCCATGAGCCTCACGAGAGCCCCGGCTGCAATCACCATTTACAAATCTACGAGCAAGAACCCTTGATCTAACTCTTTGATTTTAGCCCGGTCTTGCAATTGTACTTGAGCGATTTCCCTCAAGAAAGGCTGCAGCTCCCACGGGCTGAGTATCAAAGTTGATTTGCAACTAGAAAGATCTAGCACTGCTTTTTCCCCCCCTTTGCTACTCAGGAGGACACACATTCAAACAGTTGTGCATCCTGCCGCGGCTTTATCCAGATCCTTTGATTTTACACTATGTTGGAAAATGCAACCCTCTCATTTACTAGATGATTAATTATTTACTCATCTTTGTGGGGATGGATATGGGAATTCAATTAAAAACAGCACTGTAGAGGGTTTTTTGTTTAGTTAAATAAAACATTGTTTAGTGCGCTTGATTCATAAGAAAGAGGTTTTAAAGGCAAAACATGTTTCGGGAGCTTGCTCATTTATCAGACAGGGATGGCTACCTGCAACCAGTGAACGGAGGTGATTGCTCCTGGCCTGCAGACCCGGCAATTTTAGGACTAGTAGATCTCAGTCTCTCTCCTAACGTCTATCATAGGTTAGCGCAGCAAAAACAAACCCTTTCCAGCTTTTTTCCACCCCAACACTTTCTCTGCTTACAATGATCTAGATACTGAACCAATTCGACCAGGGGTATCGAAGTCATCCCGTCTCACGGGCTGGGTGAGGGGCTTCAGGCCGAACCACAAGTCGTACATTGGAAACTCCCGAACTAGACCGAAGAGAGGAAAATATTCTGTCTGTGGCTGCTGAGAAGGAGCTAAGCGTAGCACTTTGGGAACCTCATGATTTCAGCTGCTCAGACGGAAATTACCCCCTCCCTGTTCAATGGCTTGACTTTCTTAACATTTCAATGCCTAGCAGGTACCAGCTGGATAATTTATATTTAAAATGATCCCAGTCAGAAGTAGGAAGGCTTGGTCTTCAACGAGGTTGTCGATTTCTGATGGAAAAAGGTGGCATAGGTTTACTTGGAAGAAAAAATATTTAAATCAAAAAAATCCAGTAATAGTTTCCCAGTAAATAAATAAATTAAATATGTAGCCACTCTGATGCAAAGTCCCAGACAAACGAGCCCCAACTGACCGGCTCGCGGAGATGCTGGAGCCCAGTCCTCCCCAGACAACAGGCAGCTCTAGAAAGCGTTTCTGGGTTTCTAGGTTGAAAAGCCTTCAAATAACTCTCTCCTCCCCTGCGTAAAAACATCATGTTAAAATTCAACAGGAACAGAGATGACCTAATTAGCAATGTCAGCACTTTGCCTCTCCGCCAAAGGGAGCAGAGATTCGGGGCGGGGGGAAGAAATGTTGTCTCCTG